CACCCCTTTTTATAGTGCCAAAATAGGCTCCAACGGACCAATGCATTAAAGGGGTGATTAGCTTGATTTATGGGATTGAAAAGATTTGGGATCTGCAGAATATTGGCTTCCCATCGATGTATGGACCTTACCCATCGCTGGTAGGCCAATTTTCCTTCAGTTTTGAAGCCAACGGTCACCTACCCATCGATGGGTACATGCTTCCCATCGCTGGGTGGGAGGTTGACTTTTAAACATGGAAAGAATCAACCTTAAATGACATACAACGGTCATGCCTTCCCATCGATGGATAAGCCTTCCCATCGCTGGGTTCCCATCGATGGGTAAAGCTTCCCATCGTTAGGTAAGGGCATTCTGCCTTGTGATAATGTTGGACCAAGACTTTAACAGCGATGGGTAGAACCTCCCATCGCTGTTTGGCATGGTTCTGGAAGTTGGTTTGGCTAAGGGGCCGCTTACCCATCGATGGAATGTTCTTCCCATCGCTGGGTGGGTGGTTAGCCAAAAACCTATGGTTTTTGCGTTAACAACGGCCTAGCCAACCGATGCAAAAACTGACCGAAAAATCCAAATTTTTCCAAAATAAAAACCAATTGTTTAAAACACTTATTTGATGTATTTGACTAAGAAATCAAGTGAGACACTTTAAAAATCACGTCATTTGAGTAAAAACCACGGCTAGCCAAGTTTACGCCGTTTTGCGTGGTTTTTGTCAAACGACTATAAGCGAGAGATGGTTTTCAAAGTGTTTTTGTTGGAAAACCGTATAAACATGCCAAAGAGTGAAAGCAGATCATAAAATGCTGAAAACCACTTGGTTGGTTCGGATGCCAAAAACCAAACCCGACAACCGAAAGCCGAACGCTGGTTTCTGAAAACCGAACACTGGATGGCTTGGTTTTTGGTTTGGGCGAACACCAAGTGTTTTTAATGACTTAAACAAGTTTGAAAAACATTTTTATGAACACCAAGTGTTTTTAATGTTTTTAATGACTTAAACAATAAATGCAATGAGAGATTTTAGCCTAAAGAGCCAAGGTGTAAAGATTGGGTCGGTCTTGATCACAATATAGACCGACTCAATACTATGACTAAGGTCTTCATTCTTGGTCTTCGTTTAGCTCTTGCTCTTATCTTCGTTCTTCGCCTTGTATATTCAATGTTCGACTTGATCACGGCGGTTTGGCATTATCAAAACCTGTTACAAAAACGAACACGGCTTTAGTACGAAAACGTGACAAGCTCGTGTTTCAACATTAATGTACTTTGTAATATTTATAGGCATCATTAGTGACGTATTGGAATAAGATGAACAATTGAGCTGTGAATTCATTCTATCATTATTTCTAATATGGTATCGGAGCCATCATTCGATCAAACGATTGAATGAAACACAACGTTCATCATCTACCATAAAAAAATGTCCGATCAAACACCAGAAAGCTCCACCTACGCAGGGGAGTCTGGTCCGATGAAACAGCCCGTCAATGTTGCACAAATTTTGGAAATTCTCCAAAATTTCCAGAGTTTAGCACCCAAGGCCGAACTTACCGAGAACTTCTCCAATCATCCATTAAATTTGGCGGAAAAGCTCAATGATAAGAACTACGCCATTTGGGCGCGCAAGATGAGCTTGGCTCTAGACGGGAGAGGTTGGCTCAAGCACATCACTGCCGCACCTCTCAAAACCGATGATTCCAAATATATTAAGTGGAGGCAAGCAGATTCAACAGTGATAACTTGGATACTGGAAAATATAGAATCGGATATTGTAAATTAATATATCGATTATCCTACTGCTTGGGATTTATGTAAGGGAATCGAAGCAACGTATAGCTCCGGAAAGGATCCCCTTCAAATCTACGACCTAATGGTTAAGGCCAGCGAAATCAAACAAGGTGCACAGCCCCTCGGAAAGATTTACAGCCAACTACAAGCCGTTTGGAAAGAAATCGACAGGTGTCGACCCAACCCAATGAAATGCCCAGACGATATGACAGTTTTCACACAAATTCAACAGCAAAATCGTCTATATCAATTTCTACAGGCAATAAATGATGAATTTGATGCTGAAAAACGAGATATACTAAAAAAAAATCCACTCCCGTCGGTAGAAGAGGCGTATGCCCAAATCCGAAGGGAGGCAGCAAGAAAAGGCATTATGAAAGGAGAAGGGGGAGGACCATCATCGGGAGAGACTCCCTCAGGTATTGGCAGTGGCCTTGCGACCACACGAGTGGCGGTGCGATCGGAAAATCGCCAATCGTCATCTTGCACCTATGAAGACAAATCGCACTTAAAGTGTACCTACTGCGGCGGAGTGAAACATACAGCCGAAGGGTGCTTCAAGCGGATTGGATATCCAGAATGGTGTCCGGATAGTCCGAAAAGAGGGAAGAAACCACCAGTACCATCCGGGGTCGCTGGGGCAGCGGTGGGCAATCCTGGGACCACCAGCACCACCGCCGACCAGTTGCCTGAGTTTTTCGCCGGTGTCGCCATGGAGAAGCTCGCTGCATAGAGAGAGGAAGCTACTAGCGGCGGAAAGAAAGAGGCAGGTAGGGTTAGTGGTGAAAAAGAGAAGAGTGGGGGAGAGAATTTATTAAATTTTCTTCCCTCAAGCACACCAGAATCTGAAATTTGGTCCAATACAAACCCAATTAAAAATACCCAATGGAGTTTTGATTGTGGGGCAACTGACACGATGTCGTACGACCGTTCCGATTTTAATTCCCTAAATTGGTCAAAAAAATCCATATTCAAACAGCCAATGGGGATTATTCTCGTGTCGAGGGCACCGGTCCAATATCTATCTCTTTATCTATCCGTCTTGACAATTGCTTATATGTTCCCACACTGTCTCATAAATTGCTGTCAATAAGCCATGTCACAAAACAATTAAATTGCACAGTCCTAATACACCCCACTTTTTGTTTATTACAGGATATTCGGACGGGGAAGATCATTGGGCGTGGTTCTGAGCGTCATGGTCTGTACTATGTTGATGAAGTTGATCACTACGGAACAGCTACACTTGCTCTTGGGACAGTGGACAGGCAAGCATGGCTGTGGCATCATCGTTTGGGACATCCATCTTGGGGGTATCTCAAATCTCACTTTCCAAAATTATTCAATAAATCTTGTCAGTTTCATTGCAACAATTGTATTCTAGCCAAAAGTCATAAACATTCCTATCCTTTAAATAACATAGTTGCATCACAACCTTTCTCATTAATCCATTCTGATGCGTGGGGTCCCTCTCCAAAACCGAGTCCAAATGGGTATCAATATTTTTTATTATTTGTTGATGACTGTACCCGTATGACCTGGGTGTACTTTCTTAAACACAAATCTGAAGTTTTTGAAAAGTTCACCTCATTCTACAAATTGATCCACCCACAATACCAAAAACAGATCTATATTTTTCGATCTGATAATGGAGTAGAATACATAAATCATCCCATGGAAAATTTCTGTAAGGAAATTGGTCTTATCCATCAAACCACTTGTCCTGATACCCCTCAACAAAATGGCGTTGCTGAACGTAAGAATCGGATCATACTCGAAATCACTTGAGCTCTTATGATTGAGTCCAATGTTCTGATTTATTACTGGCCCGAAGCAATTGCAACCACCATTTACCTCATAAATCGCCTTCCGACAAAAATCCTAATTCACAAAACACCCATCGATACACTTGCAAGATTTTCCACTGTTCCTACCTCCTTGACTCTCACTCCTCGTGTGTTTGGTTGAACTGTATATGTACATATTCCAAAAGCCAAACGGTCAAAATTTGATCCTTGTGCTGTCCGATGTGTCTTTGTTGGGTATGGCGTTCACAAAAAGGGATACAGATGTTATGATCCTATTTCTCGACGGATGTACACGACAATGGATTGTAATTTTTTGGAAACTGAGTATTATTTCCATAACCACTCTAGTAGTCAGGGGGAGAAAGTTACGAATGACTCTCTAGAGTGGTTACAAAGCCCCGTCTTGCCACCTGAAACTGTCCCAACCGAGGAAGTAAGTCGCTATGTGGGATCATCTTTTGAGAACATTGAACAATCCTACAACTCATAACTCATGTCTGATTCTACTCCGTCCAAAAAGACTCCTGAGGTTTGTAATTCTCCCACTCCTGATGA